CTCTCTCTCTCTCTCTCTCTCTCTCTCTCTCTCTCTCTCTCTCTCTCTCTCTCGCTCTCTCTTTATCAGTGCTAATGTGTGTCAACATTCTAGCGACATAGGTTTTCTTCCAGGATATTAAAAAATACACAGTAGGTCAACATGGCGGTAAACAATTATTACCTTGATGTTACCATTAACATCCTGCAGCCGTGAAAGCTTGGAACAGAATAAGAAAGACAGAAAAGTGATGTGCAGCAAACACCAAAACACACACACACGCTCACACATCAAAACGTGAACACACACAAACATATCATGAGTCGCCTCTTCTGAACTCGCGAAAGCTTATATCTAGCGGTAATAGCATTAAAGAGTAGATTTATATTAATCTGTACCCATAAAAAACTCAAAGAATCAATAATTAACAGTAATGTTTTATAAACTAGTGCCATTATGAACTTTTATCTTAACGTACAGTATGAACCATATTTTGAAATTCGAAAATCATTTTCTTTAGTTTTCAATGGGGGTGGGCAGAGAGTTAATGTAGAAGCAATGGTCCAAAAGGGATCATTCTTCTTTATTAAACTAATCCAGATTTATAAGCAAATTTGGACTTACAATATATAACTTATTGATTACATTAAGAAGAGGCTTAAAAATTAGATAATACAAAACAAAGCAGGCGCAATAAGTGCAAGCAAAAGTAAGTACAATATATGAGTACATCAGGAAATAAACGATAAATCAAATAAGGGAATAACAAAACGCGATTGCAAGCAAAAAACTAAAACACATGAATGATATCATGCAGTTTGCAAAAGCCATGAACAGACAGGGTGAATTGGCCATGCACGATAGAATTAAACGCCTGGGACTTCTGTCTACTGACTACCCGAAACTATAATAAAAAAAGAGATAGGAAATACTACAGATGGGTAAAACCAAACAAAGAGACCCATTATAATATAGTTCTTAAAATTTGCACAAATAAATTTTGGCTAAAGTAAAATAAAAATGAGTTGGGGGGAAAGTCTCTTGCTTCTAGCAAGCACACTGTTTATTATTTCAACACTTAACTTATGACTCCAACTAGGACAACTATTAAGTGAAAGCAATTAACGTGCAGAAGGTTTCTCAAAGGTCTCAACACTGAAGACATTTGCACGAATCACGACCACAAGGATCTGTGAGTTTTAATGGCGTATCTCCAAAATTGGTGGTGGTAAGTTACATACCAATTAGAGCAAACCCATTTAAGCCACGTGAAATTATTTCACAGCAACGCACGCCCAGTAAAAAAAAGTGACTGGGAGATCTTCGGCCCAAGATTTATATCCTCGTAGATAACATTTTTCAAGTTTTTACTCAAATGAACAAATTAAAATGATTTTTTCCCCTACTTTTCTAGTAATGCATTTGAAAAAATTTCTCTACTCTATTCAAGGGGTGAACTCTTAGAGTCAAGGTGCTGCGA